CAGCTGGCCTACGCGCCGACGCCCTACATTCCGCGCTCTAATCTTTCCGCGACCATCAACCTTGATGAGGTATGACGCGCATCAGTCCCACTCCGCATGCGCATACTCACCGTCTACCCAGGAAGTCAAGCTCTCAACGACCAATGCCGAGCGCGACCTGAACGACTCGCTGGCCGAGATCTACAGCATCATCATCACGCTCGACGCCATAGAAAAGGCCTACCTCAAAGACTCCATCGCCGAAGCCGACTACACCGAGACATGCAACCGCTTGATGAAGCAGTACAAGTCCAATCTGGCCAATGAGACTGTCGCGCGGGCATTCGGTGACCTGGATCAGTTTGCAAAGGAATGGCACGTATGTCATAGCAAGTCTCGAGCTTCTCCAGTACTAGGCTGACACGACTCCAGATGGAATGTCCACGAGCTATCGAACGACTGCGCGTCGGCATACCCGCTACCATCGAACAGGGCCCATCACGGCCAGCTCAGTCAGGCGACTTTGCTGACGCCACGCTGGTCGTCAACGCGACCGAGACCTTCATCACCCTGCTCGACGCTATCAAGATCGGGCTGGTGGAGAAAGACACCCTACACCCTCTCCTTGTCGAGATCATCCAGGCTGTCAACAAGGTCACAGATGTCGAATTCGAGAATAAGGGCAAGATTGTGCAGTGGCTGATCACTCTGAACCAAATGCGGGCCGCCGAGAAACTGAGCGACGAGCAGTCGCGCGAGTTCCAATTCGACATGGACCAAGCATACTACGGCTTTAAGACGACCCTAAAGAAGGCTTGAGACGGGCGAATAGGCAGCGTTGGACTATCAGAATATCAGCTCGTGGTACCTGCATCTTAGCCCCGCGGTGGCTAGCTTGGGCCCACGCTGGACCTGGTGAGTACTGCACCCCACCGACCAACAATTTTCCCGCGCATTCGCCATAGTCGCTTCAAAATGTCCATGTTAGATGGTATACATCTGCGCCTTGCATCTGCATGTCTTGGTGCTAAATCCATGTCTAGTCCTTGACCTACCCCAACTCTACACCAAGCCCTCCGCCGAGGCCCTCCTCGAAACCCTCGCGCTCCTTACCACCGCTCCGCCTTCGTGGGAATATACAACTACAAGGCACACAGACCGCGATGGGAAGGCAGTGATAGAGGCGCGCGAGCCTGCAGTTCAGGTCAATCCAGAGGGCGTCACACGATACCTCACGACAATTATCAGTAGCGGGCTACAATGGATAGAAGACGATGAGGTCAAGGAGCGCATATGGGATCAAGCCAGCGCGCGCCTCAGTGAGCGATCCGGTCGATCTGCCATGAGCACCATGTCGCGCACTTTCCAGATTCCCACCTCGTCCGACGCATTCGAGCTTAAGATCCACGAGCCTGCCATGACAGGCGACGATCTGGGCCTGAAGACCTGGGCTGCTTCCTATATGCTTGCGAAGCGCCTCAGAACCTTCCATCTCGTCTCCCCGGACACACAAAATCGGCTACAAGTCCTTGAGCTTGGATCGGGTACGGGCTTGGTTGGACTGGCAATGGCAGGCTTGGGCGCAGACGTTGTTTTGACAGATCTGCCCAGCATCTGTCCAAACCTGGCCTACAATGCGCAACAGAATCGGGAGGCCGTCAGTCTCAATGGTGGGACAGTCCGCACAGCTATGCTTGACTGGACAAATCCAACCTCCTGTGAGCCACTGCCAGACGATAACAGTACTGGCGATGACGCGCCCATTCCTGCCAAATTCCCCTTGATTCTTGCTGCAGATTCGCTCTACTCCCCAGACCATCCGCGCATGTTGGTCGATACTATCGGCGTTTGGCTGGCCCCGGACGACAACGCTACAGTGATCATCGAGTTCCCATACAGGGACGCTTACTTGCCTGAAATCAAGGACTTTCGCCGCCGGATGTTAGAGCTCGGGCTACAGGTAGTGGAAGAAGGAGAAGAGAAAGGACGCGATGACTGGGGCCCGTCCGAGGCGAGCGAAGATCAAGACGATGATGCACTCGTGACCTGCTGGTGGTCATGTTGGAAAAGGCAAAATTCAAAGGCCAGCTGAGATATTCCAACCAAGATTGCCGCACATTACCCTCTCAAAAGACCCGGCGAGCTTACACTAAGGCGAAGTGGCAAGGTGTCCCACGAACCGGAACATGCGCAATTCGGTTTGGTCATTCGCATAGCCGCGGCGCTCCATAGCGACCTCGGAGCAACGCCGAGATACCCACTCCAGCTTTCCAAGAACAGTGATGCAAGCGCCGGATAATTATTACGGATAATTTGGACAGCTTCCAGACTCCCGCCTGCAATGGAGGGGCATTTCCTAACCCAGGCGGGATAGCTTGCCGCGAGGGCTTACTAGGATCCACCGTTTGTATCGTCATTAGCATTTCACCTGCGCGTGTAGTTTTGAGGGACGTGTTCTTACTTATTTCTTTCCCAAACAATTGATTCTATAACGATTGCGACTGAAACTTGAAATTCCTACAATATATCACGATGGCGACACAAACAGCAACCCAGAAGGTATAGCTTGACTGCCCCACCATGCCCCTCCAAACATGCGATACCTTTACAGCACCACCATGAATCTTCGCGCTTCAGCCATGTTTACAGCCAACTAACACACCCCCCAGAACCCCTCCTTCATCCTCAAAGCCAAAAACGAAGTCATATACGAAGACCGGCCCATCCCCTCTCTCCCCTCCCCCTACGACGTCCTCGTCCGCCCCCGATGGACCGGCATCTGCGGTTCAGACGTGCACTACTGGGTCGAAGGCCGAATCGGGCATTTCGTAGTCGAGAAGCCGATGGTGCTCGGCCACGAATCCGCGGGCATCGTGCACGCCGTCGGCGACAAAGTCAAGAGCCTCAAAGTGGGCGATGAAGTCGCCATGGAACCCGGTGTGCCCTGCCGCCGCTGCGTCCGCTGCAAAGACGGGAAATACAATTTGTGTCCCGACATGGCGTTTGCGGCGACGCCGCCGTATGATGGTACGCTCGCGAGGTATTATAGCCTGCCGGAGGATTACTGCTATAAACTGCCGGAGAATATGAGTATGGAGGAGGGTGCGCTTATTGAACCTACGGCTGTTGCTGTGCACATTACGCGACAAGCGTCTATCAAGCCCGGCGACTCTGTTGTTGTATTCGGTGCCGGGCCCGTCGGTCTGCTGTGCTGCGCCGTGGCGAAGGCTTACGGCGCGAAGAAGATTGTGACCGTCGATATCAACGACGAGCGGCTCAACTTTGCGCTCAAGTACGCGGCGAACGCGAGTTTCAAGTCTGCGCGCGTGAGTGCGCAGGAGAATGCTGAGAATCTGGTTAAAGAGTGTGAGTTGGGTATGGGCGCGGATGTTATTATTGATGCGAGTGGCGCGGAGCCATGTATTCAGACTGCGATTCATGCGTTGAGGATGGGGGGGACTTATGTTCAGGTATGTTGTCGTCACCCTCCATCTACCATACCCCCTCCCCACCATACCCCCTCTTCCACCATACTAACACAAAACCAGGGCGGCATGGGCAAACCCGACATCAACTTCCCCATCATGGCCATGTGCACCAAGGAACTCAACGTCAAAGGCTCCTTCCGCTACGGCTCCGGCGACTACCAAACCGCCATCGATCTCGTTGCTGGCGGCAGGATCAGTGTCAAGGAGCTTATTACGGGTAAGGTCAAGTTTGATGAGGCGGAGAAGGCGTTTGCGGATGTCAAGGAAGGGAAGGGGATTAAGATTTTGATTGAGGGGCCGGAGGGGGAGTAGATATGATGGTTGAGGGATGGGGATGGAGGATGGAGGTTTGCGAGTAGAGGATCTAGTTGTATGGTTGTTTTGCTAGGGGAAAGGTTGGTGTTCAAGACTAAGACTGGCCAAGGCTAGATCTGTTGTTGGTGTTTACGTAGAGGTGGCGGGTAGAGACACAATTTCCCAATACGATGTTATGACCTTGACTCTTTTGCACAGAAAAGCTACGTGTTGTACATGCATCTTCTCTGTAGTTTTGTGTAATTTTCACGCTTCTACATTGACAATGTTCCATTAAGCTTCCTGATATGCGCTTCCATGGCTTTTATCCCCGCTTCTCGTGGAAAAAAGAAAGATACGAACTAGTCCAAGTCCTCCATTCAGACGGAGCGCACCACCTAGATCAAACCATCGGAAACCGCCACAAAAGCATCGCCTTTTATCACTGTCAGCGGTACGAGCATGTAATCATCACGTTCTTCAATACCATACAATGCACATAGCCCTCGCAGACTAATCAACACGCCACGCATGTCACTTTTGCTTTCCACCGCCACCTTGGCTACGACAAGAGGGGTTCAGCCAATTTCCTTGACAATCTTGACTGAGGCGCAAGCTGTAAGAAACTCGTTAGGCCAAGGCATACACTGCATAACAAGCGGCTTCCCAAAGCGGGCAAGGTAATTGTGGGGCTGAAACGAGGAGTTGCCTCAGGTCTTGTCATGTCAGAGATGTCACAGCAGTCAGAGCAAAAGGCAAGAAGGTAGATCCTTGCAGAATGGCAACGTTGGATGAGAGTGATGTATGGAAGGACTGAGAAGTGCAGTGAGAGAATGCGTCATGATGTGTTTTTGGTTATTGATTCATTTTTGTTCGTTTGTAAGTTTGTTAAGTAGTGCAAACACCTAGCGCCCGTATATTCGCTGCATGACGCCGTGGAATAGTGAATAAGATCGTTCGGTGCGCTCTGGCTGGGATAGGATGTTCGACTGCTCGTTTGTTGGGGATTTTGGTATCGTGAGATGAATGCTGCTGCTCGTCTTAGATGCTGAGTATGAACGCCTCCGCTCGTGGGGCGGTTCCGGAAAATCGCTAAATCATGGTGGGTGGTCTGCCAGAGATATGGGAGTGGTACGTCGTCTACGTGGACACTGTACATGGAAAGGCGTGTGTGGGGTATAGGTTTGTTGAGAAGCGAAGTTGAGGTGCATTGTTGTTGCGGTCTATGGAAGGGCCAGACTATGCGGTCATCTTGCGGGCTGTGGAACCACGCTTGGGGAGAGTCCATGGCTCGGGGCAGACGACCTTGGATAACGTTAGTACGTTGATGTCTAGTAAGGATAGAGTGGTACGTACCTCGCCCTCGCTGAACGCCCAGAAGTACGCTCCCATGCCGATGATGTAGTAGAGTCCCGAGTTGGTGCCTTGGTAGATCAAAAGCGCACACAGCGCACTGAGCGGGTAGATGATCAGGCGCGCTTCAATCGAGCGGTGCAGTCCTGTGCCAGCGAGCAGTGGCAATGGCCATTCCCATGCTAGACCGATGAAGCCGAGAATCATGTTGATGACTTGGAGTACGGGGATGGGCTTTACGGCGCCATCGAGGTTCTTGGTAGCAAAGTCCCAGAAGATCTTGGGCCAGAAGAAGCATTCGAGTGCAGCTCCTATTTGATCTGGAGTTGTAATTAGTATGGTGTTGGTGGTGGTGTCGATGGCTGTGGGGCAAGACTTACACGCAGCAGCCGTGAGGATGACGAGGCGCGCCCAGTGGTTCTTGATTAACTTGCCCATTGTCGAAATACGGGTATTATAAAGAAAGGATACGAGCAATAAACCGAGCCCGCGGTCGTATAGGTGAGAAAATAAGGGTAAATAGAAAAAATGAAGAAAAGAAAGTGGAAATGTCCCTTCGACTACCAGTAGTCCCTCAGCGACAGATGAGCATCGATGGGCTTGGGTGTGGCAGGGCGAGGTTTTGTGTTATAGACACTGGCTTGGTCGCGGATGGGCGGTTCGTAGGCGTGGCGAAAGCGGTAAGGCTTCTGGGGAGATCAGGCACGGAGCAACTCGAGTGGAGTGTATAGTGGGTAGGTGTTATGGTGGGCTGAGGCGTAGGCGAGTATCAGGCGTGTTAGGTGTTCAGGCAGCGTGGTGTTGCCGTTGAGCTTCGCGACGGCAGGCGTGTCAGTATATCGGGAGCGACAGCGGGTGTCGACCGCAATTGTAGAGACAGTTTATGCGCCAGGGCCTTGCATCGCGCACCCTGGTCGCACTCTCCTTCTGGCTCGGCGCGCGCTGGGGGGAGAGATGGTCGCTCGTAGCCGCTTGACCCGCTTCGTGGACGATTGGGCGTGTGCGCGGCGCGATTGGCTGGGCCACTGTGATGCTGCATGCGACGCCAGCCTCTCTGCAGCCACGGTGCCAGTATCCTGGATCGCGCCGCCAATTTAGTCTATCCTATCAATCCTATGAACGGCTGATGCTCGCTAGCTTGGCAAAGGTAGTGTAGCGAGGGCGGAGCTAGGCGTGAATCTTCGCGTTCACGTGGTTTGTGGCATCTGTCTAAGACTTGGTGACTGTTTCTCTGCGGAGACAGTATTCAGGTCTTACTCAATTCTATACCGCTACTTCGTTGATGGTGGCGGCGAAGAGTTTGCAAAACGCCTTTACGCAAGCCGATTCGCGTTACCGCTGGCTCTGACGTACACGATAGCCATGAAACCAGCGCAGTGCGAACAATCGGCCACTCTGATCGAATAGGTAATTCTCCGCAGATATCGCCATCGCACGTGCGGCACGGCAGCACTCAGATAATCCGTCCCGACGGATGCCTGAGTCCCGGTTTCTGTTCTGTGCCTCAGGTTCTCCAACCGTAAACCTGGCGCATGATGATCAGTCATCTGCATGGAAGATCATATCGAAGCTCGCTCCTGGTTCCTCAGGCTTGCTCATCAAACAACATCATACGACAAAGTTTACTTCAGATGCCCTCGTGGCTGTCAATGCCGTCACGGTGGGGGACGGCAGCCATGGCAGACGTTGACGCAAAACAAAGTGGTACGATACTCGTTCGGTATCAGTTCGCACTTATGGTGAAGCTTTTGGCAGGGCTCCTGTCGGAGAATTGAACGTGGTTCACAAGCTGTCGATCAGAGGGCATGTGTGGTTGAGTGCAGAACAATGGCCTGATGTTGTTTTCTGCGGGTGTGCTTGGGTCAACGGCGAGCAAAAGGAAGGCGTGACCGTGGCATCTGTTTACGCTGCTTCCCAATTGGGAAATCTATGATAGTGTAATCCAGATGTCGGAGTTGAAGACAGCCCAGAATCTAGCCCTCCACCATCACTCAGCATCCATCACATCGCCGAGAACCACTTCTCTCGGCTTTCTTCGCACTGCACACCGCTTCCCGCATCACGGTCTAAGGCGGGACTAACAAGACTTTCTTCACATCGTCGGCCATCCACGAGGCCGGCAATTCGCATGCTGCCGTCCGTCGAGCCGTGTACGATGGAGACGGTCCCAAAATAGAGGCGAGATCTTGTACACATGCAGCCAGCACAGCGCAGTAGCGGGCTCAAACTTTGTGGGGGTTCCTCGAGCGCTTCGAGACAGCCCCTGATTGGCCGTGTGCGCCACGCCAATGCTCGCCCGTTAGATTTGGTGCTACCAACCACGAGCACAGAGAGCCTTCAACAGCGATGAATTCAAGCCTCGGCGGTTCTAACGCAAAAGCCACAACAGGCTCCTACCATGTGTCTTTCGCGTCTTCGATGCAGTCTTCTGCGCAAGGGGCGGTAGTTTAGAACCAGATCCGCCACCCCAATGCGTGCCTTCCGTACCTGCCAACGCTATCCCCTCCGCGACTGCAGTCATCAATCCCAAAGTTACCAGCCTCTGCATCTAACCTAACGACATAACGTAGCGAATACCACTTTCAGCGATTCATTCAGATACCCGTCCTGATTTTCCTATCCCTTTACGACCCGCCTTCCAACGTGCATCGTTTCAGCGCGCCTCGCCTATCCGTCGTGAACCCCATCAAAAGAATCGGAGCCCATCTGCCAACGGTCAATCGCACCCCTCAGGAAATACCGTCCGAAACCCTACCACGCGGCTCAGGCCCATCTGTCAGATCGTGCTCACGTCTGAAGTTTGACAGTTGTAGATCGTGAAGATTCGCAAGCCTCGCAGCCTCACCAACACCAGCCCCAACAAATCCACTAGCGAAACGGCAATCGCCTCGCCACTCGCCGGCATACACTGCACTCCTACTGTGCATTATCCAAGAGCAACTGAAGATCTTGAGCTCCGAACATACGACCGCATTTGCAAGGAAAACATGGTTCTGTGCCTGGCGCTTCAAGTCTGAGACGCTCTTCACACACTAGCCGCTCGCGCATAGCAGCAAACCCCTCCCCCAACTTCGATACCTCAAAATCCGACCTTGCGCCCATTCAGGTTTGGCGCCACCGGATTTCCTCTGCATCACGTCCCTCCCTAGTCATAACCTCTGTCATCCATCTTAACGGCTCCTGGTATACGGCACCTTCGTGGGGCATCGGTTTGAGCCACATCCGTACCGAACAGGCCCTGTCGGTTTCAGCACAGCGTGCCGCTCTACCCAGGTTTTACGGCTTTGCCTATCTGCACCTGATCTGCGCACGTTGACTCGGCTTGTTCCCAAGGCTTGACATTCTAATACCCTTGGTTCCCGGCAGCCTTGGATCCTCCTCCCCATCCGCGCGCTCTCTCTCTACATCTCTCCGCTCGTCCCGGGACACCCACATTCTTTTCTTCACTTCGTATCTGGCTGGCCGGGTCGAACTTCGACTGGATCGTTTATTTCCTGGTTGGGTTCGCTTATACCACGCGTATACTCTTTAATCTTTTCTATAATCACCGTTGAACGGCACGCCTGAGGTGGAACTTGTTGACGACACAACCGGTTACCGTGGAAGAGCATTCATCATGGGCGGCGGCGGCACATCGTTTTCCAGGCTCTTCACGCCACAAAAACTCTTCTTTCACATCTTCTTCTGGGGTTTCCATTGGGCCCTGTTCGGTATAGGATGGTAGGAAGCCCTTACTCATATCATTGATCGACCACTAACTTTAGTCAGGTGGAAACAAGCCGGTGACGCACGTTTAGCACCGCTCAACGCTCTGCAGTACTCAGTATGGGTATCTCGAGGTGCAGGTCTTGTCCTGTCAGTCGATACCATGGTCATCGTCATGCCAATGTGCAGAAACATCCTCCGATGGCTCCGTCCCAAGGTGCGCGTACTGCCGCTTGATGAGTCTCAATGGTTCCATCGACAAGTCGCCTACGCCATGTTGTTCTTCACTATCCTCCACGTAGCGGCGCATTATGTCAAGTGAGTTGATAAACATCTTCCAAAGCTTCACTATGCTAACAAATATAGCTTCTTCAACGTCGAACGTGTGCAAGTCAGACCCCAGATCGCGCTGCAAATCCATTACGCCGAGGCTGGTGGAATCACAGGACATATCATGTTGCTGTGCATGCTTCTAATCTACACCACGGCGCACCACAGGATTCGCCAACAATCGTTCGAGACCTTCTGGTACACGCATCATCTGTTCATCCCGTTCCTGCTCGGCATGTACACCCACGCGACCAGCTGCTTCGTCCGTGATACCGCTCCAGCTTTCTCTCCATTCGACCACGACAACTTCTGGACCCACTGCATTGGTTACGAGGGATGGCGATGGGAGCTTGTGGGAGGTGGTCTTTACCTCTTCGATCGTCTCTACCGTGAGATTCGTTGCAGACGCCAGACCCAGATCGTCAAGGTTGTTCGCCACCCATACGGTAAGCAGATCATCAACGTTGTTTTCGAAGGATTGCACTAATGCCGAATAGATGCCGTTGAGATTCAGTTCACCAAGCCCAGCATGAAGTACAAGCCCGGACAGTGGCTTTTCCTGAACTGCCCGGATGTCAGCTACCACCAGTGGCATCCATTTACCATCACTTCCTGCCCCAACGACCCGTACATCTCGGTTCACGTGCGCCAGGTTGGTGACTTCACTCGCGCACTTGCCGACGCTCTCGGTGCTGGTCAATCACAATCCAAGCTCTACGACGAGCTCGACCCCATGGGCATGTATGAAATAGCACTTCAGCACGGCCAAAAGATGCCCGCTCTCCGCATCGACGGACCCTACGGAGCCCCCGCAGAGGACGTTTTCGAGAACGAAGTCGCAGTCCTCATCGGAACCGGTATTGGCGTCACACCCTGGGCCTCAATTCTCAAGTCCATCTACCACCTCCGTCTCAGCCCCAACCCACCTAAGCGTCTCCGCCGTGTCGAATTCATCTGGGTCTGCAAGGACACCTCATCTTTCGAATGGTTCCAGACCCTCCTCTCATCGCTCGAAGCGCAGTCCCTCGGCGGCGCAGATGGCGACCAATTCTTGCGCATCCACACTTACCTCACCCAGAAGATGGACGTCAACACTGCGCAAAACATTGTTCTCAACTCTGTGGGCACCGACAAGGATCCCCTCACAGAACTCAAGTCGCGCACCAACTTCGGTCGTCCCGACTTCCAGCGCCTGTTCTGCGGTATGCGCGATGGTATCCTGGACCGGACCTATATGAACGGTCTGGAAAGCACGCTACGCACAGAGGTCGGTGTCTACTTCTGCGGTCCTAATGTTGCGGCGCGCGACATCAAGAAGGCGTGTAAGCAGGCGGCATGCCAGGAGGTCAACTTCAAGTTCTGGAAGGAGCATTTCTAGAGAACGCTGTTGTTCAAGAATGTGT